ATCTTTGTGAATTAGCAATTATGATATTTTCTATTACCCCTCATAGTGCAGGATGTGAAAGGATTTTTTCTACTCTTAGTTGGTTATATGGAAAAAGACGGCAACGTTTAGAACTTTTAAAAATTGAAGCAATAGCAAAAATTCATTCTTTTTATATTTCAAATATAAAAAATGAGCTTGTTTATGTTGGACAACAACATTCAGAAAATGAGTTACATAAAATGATTGAAGTTTCAACATTTTTACAATTTGAGGAAGAGAAGAAGGAAGAAGAAGAAAATAACAATATAGCTTTAGAAATTTCAACCCATGAAGTTCGTGCTTTAATAATTGAACAATTATTTGATTTAAAAGATATTGATATAGTAAATAATGAAAATAATAATAATTCAAGTAATAGTGAAAATGATAATAGCAATAATAATAGTTATTCAGATTCAAATAGTAATGATGATAATAACGATTATGATATTGAATTATTAACAAAAAAATATTTACTTAATAATGATAGAGAAATATTATAATAATTTTTTCAAATTAGCTTTATTTTTTATAATTTTTTTGAAGACAAATAATTTTTTTTATAATAATATTAGTAATATAAATATTTTTTTTTCTATAGTATATAAATAATAATAAACAATTATAATGAATTTAAAAATACATTTAATTATTTTTTAATATTTTTTTTTTATTTTGTCAATTTTGTCAATTTCATCAATTTCATCAATTTCAGTAATTTCATCAATTTCGTCAGTTTCATCAGTTTCGTCAATTTCATCATTTCAGTTTCAGTTTCAGTTTCAGTTTCGGAAAAATTTCGTCATTTTTAAAAAAAAATGAATATTTTGGATTTAAATAATAATTTCGTCCAATATCATTAACGCTATTCTATACTAACGTAAAAAAATCTTATTCCTATTGTTGTTCGTTTGACCTTTCACCAGCGTAATTAATGGTTACATTGATGATATTAGCATTTTGTGAAATAAAGAGAGGGTAGGTATGACTGACCTAGAGATCATAGATGTTTCAATAGATGTGTTACCGGTCTTAATAGAATAGGTGTATTTACGATAATTTTAGATGATGATGTTTGTGATCTTGATAGTATGGGAGATGATGATGAAAAGATTGATTGATTCGCTTAATATCCTAACTCTCTCATTATGTACTCGTTCAAATGGAAGATTTAGTAAAATTAAAATAAATCAACATTGATAAAGTTCACCAGCGACTAATAATAATTGAGAAGCATCAGATTTCCAAAAGTATAATTATCAGGTTTTAGCCAAAATTTGCTAGAGAACTTCTCATAGATCCTCTTTCTTATTAAACTCCTTTTTTTCCTACCCTTTCTATATTTTACAGCTGTCTAATAAAATAATGATAATAAGAATATTATCAGCCTGATTCTTCATAGGGCTAAGCAAGAGTTACTTACTTTATAAGCTTTCTTGAGATTTTTGAATTTCTTGCAATAGTCCACGCTAGTGAAAAAATTGGTATTTTCATGTTCGTTAATTTTTTCAGCAATATCAAGAGTTTCTTTTTATTCAGAGTAAAGTGAAATTCAGCATTTCTCTGTTTTCGTTCGTCAATGAGAAAGCGAGTCTATGCATCACTTCACTCGATAGAAGACATAATTTCACATGATGAGAAGAATCCTAAGGAATAAGTACTTATTTATATAGATATATCTAATAATATGAATAACAAGTATAATAAATATATAATGATTGGTTCGAATAATAATAGTTGCTTAGTTGCATTTTATCTGATTAGCTGATCATCTCGTGATTTTGGTGACTAGCTAGCGTCAAAGTAGTGTCTGAGAACTGACATGAAACTGTCAGGTAGCTAGAATGATTCTTGTGATATGATATACATCATATACCTCTGATTAATGATCTGAGAATAATTTAGCTATTATATTATCTCAGAACTAATTTAACCGAATTATGTCATCAGAAAATCCCTTATATGCATGTGAATATGCATATAGTCAGATGAAGACCTTATATAAACCTCGATATGCTTGTAATTGAATAAAAAAATGAATCTGATATTTTATTATAATATACTTGCTACAACGCTAAATATTTACTAAAAACGATAAATCACTAAATTACTATAAGTCTTATTTATTATTTATTATCACATATAATCATCAAATATGTCTGAATTAATGATTAAGATCATTTTAGATAATATTTATAATAAAGTTATAACTTAACCTGTCAATCTCTATCCTAGATATAATATGGAATATGTTGCTAACTATTATAATGGTCATTTAAACGAACAGTTTAAAAAAGTGGTTGAAATAGAAAAATCAGATGATTATTTGTCTATCATTAGACCTCATGAAACACCTCAGTAATAGGCTAATCATATAAGAGTTCCTTTACAAAAGTTGCTTTCTTCTAGAAAATATAGTTTATATTATGTATATAGCCTTTTCGCTTTATTCGGGCAAGTAGAATCCAAAATATTCTATGGTAATGGTGAATTATATGAAGATCACTTTAGCTATCGTAAACCTAGTATCCATAAAAGTCAGATAGCTAACTATTTCAAATGCTGGAAATTGATAAAAATTGCTAAAGTAAAGCCAAGAAAGATATATTATAGTGGATAGGGTAGATGGGCCTATGAAGTTAAGTCTGAAGATTTAATGAAAAATCATTGGGATTATTGGGATTGCTCTTACTTCAAGGCTAAAACTGCAACTATAGCAAAAAATACTATGTCTAGTGTTAAACAAGAAATGTTTTCACCAACTTCTAATTGATCCTCAAATTGCAAAAGCAATATAAGCAGATTATTTATCTCGTCTCTATATGCAAAACAAAATAACTTATTATCATTCATAAACCATCTTAATCAGCTGAAAGACACTGTGTTAAGATTGAGAGATGGGACAGAAATCATAATAATTTAACTGGATGATTGACTGATTCTGAAAAATGTTTTAAATATAGTCCATATATAACTTATTCATACATATTTTTTTTTCTCGCATGATTAACCAGGCCTAGTCTTTGATCAAGATCCTGAATATTATCAATAAAAAATAGGTCTTAGTGATTCTGGCAAGTATATTTGCCTGTGTTTTGTTAATTACCTGCTTGTGTAACAAAATAATTTTACATATAAATTGATCCTTTCATTTTTTGGCATAGATCAGGTTTATATATACGGGATGATAATTATGAGTTTGTACGCAAAATTTTCCAGATTAGTACTTGATCAAGATCCTGAATATTATTAATAATAAATAGGCCTTAACCACAGAGTATATTTGCACTACCATGCTAAACACCTTATAGTCAATACATATAGGCATGTGCGACAAAATAAATATGTTCTTGATTCTCATTAAAGCTTGAGAAGTGCATATATAATATAATAGTGATACATTGCCAATCATCTGTGCGACTATCTGCTTATACGACAAAATAATTTCACACATAAATCGATCTACCCCAAAAAATATTTTGATTTTTTTCCTCCTTTGGTCAAGATCTTCAGGAGATAGCCTATCCTGTTAGGTTTTCTTTTTTTGAACTATAGTGAGAAAAAGGGTTATAGTATTAAGTAGATAGATGAGAAATATATGCATTACCCCCAACACCTTTCTAAAGTCAAGATTTTTAATGCATATTTACATATCCTTATTCTCTAATGCAAAATTTTAGTGTAAAAGTGTCTTGCATATTCTTCTGCTCTGATCCCAACATAAACTCAGGTTCAGAGAAGTCATGAGTGGAGAGATTGCAATGTATTTAAAAGACAATATAGTAAAATTATTATGCCTTTATGTTATTTTTTTTTACTTTGCTTAGCAGAGCTTTTACTAACATTTAACTTTCACTCTATTAAAATATGAAAGAATTCCTTTTAACAAAAGAGCCTCTCAGCATCGTTACGATTTCCACAGCATTGTTTGTACGAGTAAAGCAAGGTGAATTGTTAGACGTTCTTGAAAAAAAAGTAAAAAACTTCAAAAATGTTCTGAAAAGAGTTTTAGAAAAAGTCCCTTTAAAGGACGTTGAACGAAAAAAGAAGCTTTGAAGTTTTGGTACCAAAAAAAAATTAGCTAAACAGATAAGGCAATAAACTATTTTATAATGAATATATGGATACGATGACTTGTATTTTTTAGGTTTTCTAAAGGTATAGTGGGATCCTATTGCATATATGCTAGTGAATGCGCTAATATCTGTTGTAATGTCATCACTTTTCGCATAGCAGTAACTAGTTATATGTGCTCACAGAATATTGATCATTGAGCTCATTGCCAGTATTTTTTGATAGTTTATGAAAATGGAAACCTAATCTGATCCTGCAATTTGCTATTCACTTTAATTAACAAAATATGTTAAGTCTAAACTAAGCTAATTATATTTAGGTTGCAAGTACTTTTGAAGATTTATGTTCTCTAACAGAAATAAAAGCTCTGGTAATTGATGCTGAGACGTAGCCTGATGATGCGAATGCAAATTTACAGTGTTTGAAACGTAACGTTAGGTAACTTATGAATGAGAGCACTAGTTATGAGAAAATTATGTGGGAGAGGAAGAAATGGAACTTAATAATATAAATGTAGAAAATCTTGGATTTGATCATCCAATATATTCAGGAATCCTCAATATCAAATCAGAACCTTTTATAAACATTTCTGAATCATTTTACAGTATTTTTAAGAACTCGTTTCAAAAATATAAGTTAGAACAGAATCAAGATATATATTAGACACTTATAAAGAATTTATCCAAAATGAAGAATCAAAGATTAATGAAGATGAGGATTTGCGTGATGTTGGATTTGAGAAATAATTAGATAGCTCTGAAAGGCTTCAAGATACGACAAGTCGAATTTTAGAATCTTTGTAAGTTTATTATTTTTCGCCTTATACTCTGCTTTCTTATATATGTTTGCTTACTACTTATGAATAATATAAATGGGTGGGATCTTTTCTAAGTTTAAAGTTTAGAAATCACCTAAATATGAAGCCTATACAAAGAAAGGAAAATCAGTTAATGAAGGGTCATATGTTTGTGAAGTACTCGCGTCATTAATAAATATAGTAACAAGTGATTTGCCTGGAAATCCTATTGTATAAGATATATGATAAGCGCCTAGTATTACCTATAAAATATTTATTCCCTGTCATGCTTTTTTCTTATTTAATGATTTTCCTAAATAGGGATGAAGAGGGAAATTTAGCTAGTACTATACGAAAAGGATCTCGCAAGTTTGTATGAAAGTCTAATTATATGATCATAGCGCAATTAAGAAAAGATTCAGAATTTGAAATAATATATCTTGAAACTGGAAGGCCAAATTCTAGCCAAGATAAATGCTGGTGAGATCATAAAAATTTATTTTGATTATCTAAGGATTTTATTAATACTACTAGGATTTTATCGAAGCTCAAAAGAATGTTCAATCAATTTTCCAAGAGGCAGAATTTGACTATATTTGCTATTAATATCGCAGGTAATGCATTATATTTTTATTTTCTTCAGCTATACTATACCTCCTGCTCTTGTATTACAAACCAATAATGAATAATCATGTTGCTTTTATTTTAGGCGATGTTATAGAACTTTATGCTATGCAGAAAGAATCAGATATTTATAAGTACTGTTTAATAGAGAAAGCAACAATTCCATTGCATGTGACTTCCCTAAGTGCTGTATATTCGCTTATACATGTGTTAATGACTCTGAGAATGGTTGTTACATGTACAATTCACAAAATATTATATAGTTCGACTCTTAGGATAGTGAACATAGTTCTAGTGAAATGGTAGTAATGGTTTCAACCCCAAAAAATTCATAGAGTAGAGATTTATTTTTTTTATTAAGTTATATTATTAATAAAGCAAGTGCGTCAGATAATAAAATTTTCTTGGCAATTTTCAGCTGGGGCGTTCCAGTCAAAATCACATGATTTTTTGCTAACCAATAGTCATGATATCACGTGAAATTCTTGATCAGAGCTAATATTTCTAGCTGATTTGCCAGATTGGTGTCACAAAACTGACACGTGAATTTATTTTTAAAATTCTTTGAATTCCCTTTCCTGAATATGCAGAATTTTTTATTATCTATAAGAAATGACTACATACAAATACCATCTTTTCATATATATTACTTGAAGCAACTTAACTAACTTCTTCAATCTATCAAATAGATATATGACGACGCCTTACATCTTGAAAATATCAATTATCGCTGAAACAGGCAAGTAGTATTTACCCTGAAGTAAAAGATTTGTTAAATAAAGCAGTTGAAAATTATATTAAGAAAAAATAGCATCAGAAGATGAAGCCTATTATAGTGATTGTGAAACTTCGTTAAGGCAAGAAAATGAGGAGTTATGTATATCAAAGCAGGTATTAAAAAATAAGATCGAAGAGCTTCTCAATTTGTAAGAACAGTATAAGTCTTGTGAGGCAGCTATGATCAGGTCTTTAGAAAAAAGTGGTGGGAAAGTCATCCAATTATCAAATTTAGTATTTTTTTTAAAAAACATAATTGCTAATATGAAAAAAGCTATTGTATCAGCTGAAAAATCTATTGACATGCTTGAGGATAAATGCCTATATCTGGAGGATATTATTTCTGCTAAAGATAGAAAAATTATCACTCTGGTTGATCAGATCTCTTTCTACACAAAATATAGTAATATAACTATAGAACTGGAAATATATTACTTATGAAAGAAAATTATGGACGAAGAAGCATAGTGAATCTGAATATGACCCAGAAGCCCAGAAAAAATATATATTTTGTCTCACTTCATCAATTCCTTTGAAGTAACGCTAAGCTGAAAGAATTTTTACTCACTAGCTTAGACACTTTTTCAAGAATTTGGTCCTAACTGAGCTGTATCCTATGTGGATGCTCACGAGATATGATTAGATTGAAAACAATGAATTTTTTCTTATATAATGCCTTATCAATAATCTTAATCACACTATGTTAGTCATTAGCATATTGACGCACAATTCTGACTAGCTCATCTGTGATGCATGACCCATTAAATAGGCAGATATATGTGAGATTTTTTCGTATTATTTTGAGTAATCAAAGTAACTCTGAGATATATATAGTGAACTGACATTGTAATGGTGCATTTCGATGAAATAAGGAATAATTTTCTCTTGCATTTTCTTTGGATCAGCACATATATCTTCAAATATAGCTACTGTATCCTGTTTAGAAAAAATGAATTTACCTTGGGATCTTATTAGGCTTCAAAGTCTGGAATGTAATATTTTCACAATATGGCTTTGAACTGTTAGCAATTATCTGGAATAGGGTTCCTCAAAATCGAATCGAATCAAATATTTAAACAATTTGAATTTGATTTGATTTTTTCAAATCGAATCGAATCGAATCGAATTGAACTCAAATATTTGATCGAATCAAT